TTCCTCTTGTTTAAAGGTTTATGAGTATTATGATTCTTCATCTATGTAGACTGTAAAGTGGCCTATGAAGGACATACTGACGAACTTTTTAAAGGAAAATGCTCAATATTGCCCCAAAACGTGAAAGACTTGAACCACAAAATGAGCTTTAACCATGGATTTTCTAATTTGAATTCTTGCCTTCCAGCATTTCTATTTGTTTTTCTTTTTTATTATACAAATAAGATAAACATTACTTTGTCTTTTATGTTTCCAAGATTTCTTAAGAGCATTCAAGTTAATGACACTCATGCATGCAAGTTTATTCTGTATGAGAATGACTTTGCATCCTCTTCTAGGTGGAAAGCTCCGGCATTGATTTCATAGTTTCAAACATTTTGTCTTTTATAGTATGTCTTGCACTTGCTTGAGCGGCCTTGGCACTGAGAATCAACTTGAAAAAAATTAATTAAACTGGTCTTCAGAGTAAAAGTAAACCGGCAAACTCTTCAATTAAATAAAAACTTCCAAACTTGAATTCATGTCCCTGTATGTAGTGACAATCACTGTGAACCTAAAAATCAGGAAGTTTGAACACTTTGTCTCTCTCAGATCTGACCGTATATTGGTATGCTAAGTATGTGTTGGGTTTTCTTTTAGGATTTAGCACTTGATGCTACCACAATAGTAGGGGTGGACCTTGGCCAGGGTCTGCTGCGGGAAGTGGATATTAAAAAGTACATAAAGGTTGAGAAGGTTCCTGGTGGCCAGTTGGAAGATTCAGTGGTTCTCAAAGGAGTAATGATTAACAAAGATGTTATTGCACCTGGAAAAATGAGAAGAAAGATTGTCAACCCACGCATCATTCTTCTTGATTGTCCTCTTAAAGATTGTCAACCCACGCATCATTCTTCTTGATTGTCCTCTTGAATATAAGAAAGGCAAGAACCAAACAAATGCCGAGTTGCTTAAAGAAGAAGATTGGGGAGTCCTGCTAAAATTGGAAGAAGAATACATCGAGAGCCTATGCGTGCAAATATTGAAGTTTAAACCAGATGTGGTTATCACAGAAAAGGGGCTTAGTGACTTGGCATGCCATTATTTTAGCAAGGCCGGTGTCAGTGCAATCAGGAGGTTGCGGAAAACAGATAATAACCGAATTGCCAAGGCTTGTGGAGCTGTAATTGTTAACAGACCAGATGAATTGCAAGAGTCTGATGTTGGTACTGGCGCTGGGCTATTTGAGGTTAAGAAAATTGGTGATGAGTTTTTTGCATTCATTGTTGATTGCAAAGAGCCCAAAGCATGTACTGTACTCTTGAGAGGTCCTAGTAAGGATCTCTTAAATGAAGTGGAAAGGAATTTGCAGGTATAGTGGTTCTACTTTTTTGTCCCCATTACTTAGAATAAATATGGTATGCTGAAATTTGTTATTTACTCCCTTATATCTGGTCATAGGATGCCATGTCTGTAGCAAGAAACATCCTCAAGAATCCGAAACTTGTTCCTGGTGGTGGTGCTACAGAGTTAACTGTATCTGCTACATTGAAGCAAAAGAGTTCATCTGTAGAAGGTATAGAAAAGGTAAAAGCTCCTTCCTTATCCAAAAGTTTGGTATTTCTTGTGTAAATTTGGTCCAAGAATAATTCCTTGTGGAAGTAGAAATGAATAAACTGGCTGTCACTTCACTTCACATGCTCTTTCACATACTTAAGATTAAGAATTAGCTGTGGCTTCACTTTACATGCTTTTTAATGGAGTTTTATTGCTACACGTGTTTTGATGGTAAAACAGTGGCCATATGAAGCTGCTGCTATAGCTTTTGAGGCTATACCACGTACTTTGGCTCAGAATTGTGGGGTGAATGTGATTAGAACAATGACGGCGTTGCAGGGAAAGGTTTGAATCTTTTCTGTATGGCTTTGTTCTGTTTTACTATGACTTGTCATTTCTATGTACGTTCTGCTGCATCATTTTTTTTTGGGTCAGAATCTGATGCATCATTTATATCCTAACCACAATTATTTTTCGATAGCATGCAAATGGTGAAAATGCATGGATTGGCATTGATGGTAACACTGGTGCAATAACTGATGTGAAAGAGAAAAAGGTAGGTGGATATCTTTTTGGCTTACTAGTGTTTGCTCTCTTTTATTTCCTTCACTATCTCAATATTCAAGTTTGTTGGCCAATTGATATTTTGGGAAAAGCTCTCAAACAGGACACTTTTCTGTAGTATTGTACTCGAATGTATCCATTATATGGAAATCATCTTGATATGGTGTCGATATTATTGATATGTGTCCCATTATATCAATAGCATATTATCCCACATAGTCTTGATTTAGCATAAATAAAGCGTCAATATTCTGGTTGATATTGTCGATTGCTTCAGTAGTAGTTCTAGTTTAGAGCTTCTCCCAATATATTTGGACAGCACTCATGTGAGGGGAAGTGCTGTTGTCTTGGTTACTACTAAAGTGAACGCCATTGCTCATAATTGAGCATCCATGGAGTCTTGAATCTGAAATTTCTTATGTCGGTCAGGCTGCTAATTTCTAGAAATTATGATGTCAGATATGGGATGCCTATAACGTGAAGGCCCAGACTTTTAAAACTGCCATAGAAGCTGCTTGCCTACTTCTCAGAATCGATGACATTGTGAGTGGGATCAAGAAGAAGCAGCCTCCTGGTGCCAAAGCTCCTTCGAAGCCTCAAGTTGAGACGGAAGGCGATGCAGATAATGAGCAAATAATTCCCGAGTGATTATCGAGAGCGCGTGGTTTTCTCAGTTTGAATGAAGTTTTGCTTTAAAGAAAGAAAAGAAAGGAGCATTATAAGTTTGATGAGGATATTTTGTAGGTTTGTAATGTCACCTTAACTTTGTAGTGTGTGTTTTGTCTCTCTTCTTTCTTTCTCAATCCACGAAGGGTGGGAAAGAAGAGAAGTCTTCTTCTTATTGGAGAATGCTAATGTTAGTTTGCCATGTCATCTGTGTATCGAACACAATTTATTTGTTAACTTCTTGGATTGGCACAATGACGCTTATTTCTACCATTGTGAATGATTGTTAAGTAGAAACTTAGTTATTGACAAAAATGTAATTTTCTCAAAGCAAAAGAACAAAAAAATTTCAAGACCAAGCATCAATTTTAATAAGCCATTGTGGCACCTAAAGCACATGACATACAGCAACGTACACAAACTTGTGGAGGCTATAATTGATGTTAACCATCACTATTATCAACTTAGGGACAGTAAGAATTGATCTTGGCCATTCATCAAGAGAGAAGAGAGTTTCACAGATGG